CACACACACACACACACACACACATACACACACACACACACACACACACACACACACACACACACACACACACACTTAGCGCCCCTGCATACAGGTCAAATTGTTACTGTATATCAAGGACTGTGTGTGTGCACAGATTGGTCAATGTACTAAGCTACTTAATGTTGGCACTCATAATGTTTGTAGATGTGAGAATGTCATAGTGCTCTTCCCTCTCACAGCTGCCTTTCCTTGATTGAGAAAAATATTCCCCACCAGCCAGTCAGCTCAAAGAATTTACTACAAGTTCATGCAGTCATCTGTAGATTTTGTGTCTAATCTGTTGAGGATTTGTTCCTGCTACCACCATTGGGACACTTGGTCTCCCTTGCCAACAGTAAATAGATGGGTGTTTGATAATAATTTAGTTTGCAACAGGGACAATACTGATTAATGCTCTCACGCACAGTAATGATCCAGTTATTAAAGCACTGTCTAAGTGTTGGAGACACAAGTGTTGTTTCTGGACAGGGCCCCAGATTGGTGGTATGCAGCGGGGAGGGGTTGGGCTAACAGTTGCTGCGTGTGGAGGGCACACTGACAGCACTATCAAGGACAGAGGCCACCAGTATAAAGCCTTTGTCACCCTCAAATCCCACTTTTACCCTTTGTGTTAGCCTCTTAGAAGCAATCAGATTTTTTGTGCAGTGGTCGAAACAAACTGAATACATTTACTAGGGTACTGTACTATAACTTTATGTACGATTTTGAGGTACTAGTGCTTTATGTGTTGCCATTTTAAGCTACTTTATACTTTTTGTTTTGGATTAATTTGAAGGCTGTAGTCCCTTCATAAATTACATTTTTAATTTCTAACCTTTTTGGCTTGTGTCGCCTTACAAACAGGCAGTGTCTTGTTAGAAAAATGTTCAGAAAAGTCCAAGAAGAATTATACAATTTAAAGTTTTTCTCCCTTCTAATCATCCAATGGACCTCTCACATTTATCTTGCAACCCTTTCAAGCCGGTCCTTAGCTTTGGAAACTACTGAATTAAAATACTTAACAGTTTATGAAGTATTTAAAACTAGCTGCAGCTACAACAATAAAAAGCTACTTTGTATATCAACACATCATTATAGCAATATAATGATGTACTGTATAAGATATCGTGTTTTTCTGTAGAACACCGTATTTTATTTGGATACTTTAAGAGGCCTATTTAGCTGATGATCATCATTTACTAAAGTATGAGATGAATCCAGGACTTTTACCTGAGTTTTACTTGACTGAAGTGCAATATATTTAAAGGTTGGGTATAGGAAACATTTGATTCAATGATTGATGTCAGGCTGCGAGTATTTCAACAAATATAACAATACATCTTTCTAAAATACATTACTGAGGATTGGATAACTCTGTATGAGTGCCTCTGCGGCATTGCAAAGATAAACAGCAGTACTACTAAAGGTCATGGCTCAAGCTAAGGTTTCACATTAAAGAAATATATACCCATAATCGCTTTTAAATGACATACCAGTGCTGGCCTATTAATACATGTTTTACTCGGTTTTCATTTACTTTTCTCAGTCGAACGTTCAACTTTTTATAGCGATGATACAAGTGAAAATAAAACATGATTTCAATCAACATTTATTATTTTATAACCACCTCGTTTATATTATGGTGGACATTATTTCATAATAAATCTAATGTGGAAAATCAGTGCATGTATTTCCTTGAAGTGAGAGCCTTTTAAGATTGTATTATCTCCTTTCTGTGTCAAAACATGAACATACACCCAGGTTAAACTGACCTCCACAAAGCTGATACATTTAGGCAGCTATTTAAAAAGGGACAGCGCTCACGTTGAGATCAGTTTCTTACAGTGGCTACATTAAAACAGCAGGTGTTAAATCATGAGCACCATTAATCAATGACAAGAAGAGTCAGTGTGAAGACCTTTTCAACCCTCACTCCCTCCCTCAAACGCATCAGAGGTTGATACATCATACACAATTATGTACCTGCTCTAAAAATATACAAGGATAAGTTTAACAGTAACACAGCAAATCTTCCAGCGTTAACAAGTGTTGATTTTACAGTGACAGATTTTCAGGGTTGACAAGCGTTGGTCAGACAGTTATGCAGTCGCAGAGCAGACGTTCGTCTACATGGCGGCTCGAAAGCATTCAAAAAACTCTGATAGGTTCCACTTCAGGAGCCTGGAGTTTAACACTGGAAATGTTGTAGATTTTTGCAGTTTTTAAATTAAAAATGTTTTTCCAGACTCTCAACTCAGTAAGAGCTGACCAGATGGCAGACATCTTTAAAATCAAAAATGATCACAATATGGAAACTACATGTTTAAGCAAAAGGAATAAAATACAATAATAGGGGGAAAGAAATATAGAAATATTTTTGCAATTCCATCTCAATGTTGTATTGAGAATAATAAGTGGAAAGAAATGTTTGACAAATGTAATGGTCTTAAACTCATAGTTCTTTAAATGATTCCAATTTATTAAGCCAAATTCCCAATTGCACTTGAGTCTTTTTTTTTCTTTTGGGTGGAAACAGTATTCTAATAACTTTTGCTTCAGTAAAACAAACAATGTTCTTTTACCAGTAATTAAATTAAAATTGTTATTCAATATATAACGAATATTGTATATTATTCGATTTTATTTGCTGCAACTGAGATGTTATTACATCATCATTTATATTGTTATTATTACGCATTGTAAGCACGATTATACTGACTTCACAGATGTCTTTTGTTTTATTATGTATTGGTTTTGGTTGATGTGTGCCAGGAAATGGATGTACTTGTAGGAAAGTACAAGTACCTTTTAACTGGAAGAATATTGTAAATAGTGTGCTTAAGTTAATTAGTTACAATATATCAGCAGTCATTAAAAACTCATGCTGTGCAGCCAAATACTGTTCAAACCCACAACACTTTATTTTAAATTCAAAAATCGCACATAGACATTCATGATATGAGGAGTTGAAACAAGCTAAAAATAATGTATATCCGTGGATTATTGTAATTTCTCACAAATGAAGGTAGACATGTATGTCTAGGGGTTCATAATAATAATATAAAAAACTTTAATACAATGATGAGAGAACTAAAGTTAAAAAGATGATGGATTGCTCTGGATTTATATAATATTGCGAACACAGGCATGTTGAACATATCCCTAATTTCAGCTTGAAATGTTTGTGTTTCCCGTCCGATCGTGCCACCTAGCAGCGCTGGTGACTTTCTGAAACGACTCCTGACTCCTGAGGGAACTGGAGACGTTGCAGTGCCTGAACACCTGCTGTGAGGCAATACTCAGCAGCCAGACCTCTCCAGGTTTCCCCTCCTCTCAGGGGTCCCATGGTTCAAAGGGTTAAAAGGTCCTCTTTGGATTTGAAAGTGTCATAAGTGAGCTAGTTTACTGGATGTTAGGGATTAGAGGGTCACCCTAAACCTCTGATAATGACATTCCCCTTAAGGAGGATAAATGATCAGTGTGAATATTTAGGTCTCCTTCACTGACCCTCTGTTGAAGGATTCAGTTAGTTTGATAATGTTTACATATTAGAATTTCAAAGAAGCAACCCATTCTTATCAAATCATATCATAAAGAATGATAAAGGGAAACTTGCCAAATTGTTTAATGTAAGGTAATGTATATATTTGTTATAGACAGCAATATATCATGTCTGATCTACAATTGCCTCAAGGCACCACCAATTAAATGTGTAAAGCTCAGATAACTCAGACCACAAGCCACCCTTTGAAGAGGGTTTTTAAGTTATTATTGTTAATAAATAATGTCCCAATCAAATTAAAATGTCAGACTTGTTAGAAAGAAACAAATCTGTGAATTGTAATCGATGCATCATAAACGTTTATATTACTGAACAGATTCCGTTAACACCACCAGTAAGGCCTTGAATCTACCATCGGATGTCACTAAAATAAAATAACCGTACACCTTTTGATCTGTGCTGCAGCTGAAAGTACAGTATTTCGAAATATACAGAGGAAATATAACAATACTACATTGCATTCATACCACTAAGTTACTATGAATGTACCACTTCCGTTGAGACTGAGTATTGGTGTTGTACTAACAAACTGAATGGTAATGGGACAATTTTATTTATTATTAGGTAGCAGAATACACACACCCTAAAATCATGTCATTTATTTTTGTGGAACCTATCAGAGTTGTCATTTTTATGTGTGCTTGTCATATATTTACTTCTTTATGTATGTTATGTTTCAAATACAGTTTGGTATGCTCATACATTTTATACTCTTCATTGTCATTTTAGTTGCTTTTATAACTTCATCTACAACAAAAAGATGCAACAGAAATCACAGTCTTTCCTACTAAATGAATTGTTGGTGAAGATATTTGATCACAAGGAGACTTGTTTAAAGTGAATTTACTTGTACAGACGTCCAAAACTTGAGTAAAATGTCACAATATGGTGATGATTGTCTAGAAAGAAACAGCGAAGAGCTGTTTGCCGTGGCGTCCTCTGGTTTCAGCTTGCACGTGTCTTGAGTGTTTCAGAGATACTCTAGCCTAAAAACAGCAATGCTATGCAAAGCCGTCATGAATTATGCCAGCAATGGCAGACACGTACGGTTGCCCCCTTCTGGCAATGGGTATTTGGTTTCACTCATGCTCATAAACTACTGGTCCTCCAGCAAAGGTCAGCACCTTGTTAGGGCCTTCTGCGACATCTAACAACCCTATTGTTCGGAGAAAACCTCTTTCTATGAAAAATGCTGCTATCTGGCTGTTAAAGCAAACTTAATCACATTTATTTTAAAGCTTTAGGGTCATGATTGTGGATTGCAAATCCAATGAATAGGGTGAAATTAAGTGTGTCCTATTGTGATCTTGTAGTTTGTTTTAAACCATTCAATATAAACCCTTTTTTTATTGTTTACAATTTGTAAATAACAAAACAAAAATAACCTGAAAAGAGAAATTGGAGTGAAATAAGAACCCCAAGAAAAAGTTGTGTTCTTGTGTGTTTTTGTTCATCAATGTACATGTGTAGAAGGTAAGACCAAGACAGCAACAAAGAATCCTGCAGAAAGTATTACTAAATATTTAACTCACAAATCCCATATTTTATAGTTTGTAGGATTTGAAAAATATTCCTTTGAGGACACAATAATGGAGGAGCTAAAATCAATAAATGCTCCATGGATGATTTTCTTCTAGAAAACTAAACCTTTTCAAAATAATTGCATCATATTAAATCATATGAATAGATAAATATAGCAGCTTACTTTTTCTTTGAGTGACCAAATCTGTAAACTTGGTCAGACTTGGAGTTTGTCCCCCCTTTAGTTATCAATAGCCACCCTCTAGTGGTATAATCATGTAACAGCACTGCACCAGACATGAGTTAAATATACTGTATATCCTAATAATTACACTGAGCTGGACACGTATAACTGAAGCTTTGAGGAGAACAATTGACAAGGAGGAAGTTTTGGGCACATGTTTTGTGAGGTCATGTTTCATATAACTGGTGGCCTGCAGACTGCATTACTTGCATTTCCTCTTTATGGGGCTTTCTGTACTGATGAAGTCATCTGGTATAACTACGTGGTAAAGTCTGCATGTAAATGTATCAATGTGTTAATGCTGTCCATGGTGCTGAAATGTCCACATTTTCAAGGTTTCAAGTTGCAAGGCTTTTATTGTCATGTTTGCACAGTGTAGTTATGACAATGAAAATCTTAGGTCACAAGCTCCTCTAAAAGTGCAACACAATAAAACAGATAAAATAGTACAAGTAAATAAAATCAAATAGAATATAATAGACACAGAATATGATAGAAACTGTGCAGAATAGTATGCAAAGTTTAAAGCATTGTTATGATTTAGTATTGATATACCACCTTGAATATGAGTCATTGATTTTCCACTGAACACATTATTGCGTGTCTCAACACATTACCACAGTGATTACTGACGACTCAACGTTTCTGTCCCCCCCCCCCCCCCTCTGTCCGGGAGTGAGGTATCCTTCCGGGACGCTCTGTGTCAGCCTGTGTCAGGGTTTCCACCACTGCTGCATTTGGTTGTTGGCCAGGCGGGTAAAAGCTGCAGCTAGCACCGATCACTGCCTTATTTTATATTACTAATGTTCAAGAGGCAACATGACATCGTCTCAGCAGTGGCTACGGGTCTGTTTCTCGCTCCTGTGCATTTATGCAGCAGTTGAATCCAAACGGATTTTCAAATGTCCTTCAGGATGCACCTGCACCAAGGAGACCATCATCTGCGTCGGGACTTTACAGATCCCACGGACCATACCGAGTGAGATCAACTCCCTGTGAGTATCAGTGTTTGTGGATGATTTATTTGTTAAGCATAAAACAGCCAATGTTGCGTTCAAGGAGACAATTAACTTGCCACGCGGTGCTCCCCTGCAGAGTTGGCTCTCGGTGTGTCTGGTACAGACTTTGATTTGTGTTTGTTTACTCCCAACAGGAGCCTGGTTAATGGATCCATTTCTGAAATCACAGAGGGAATGTTTTCTCTAATGCCCTCTCTTCAGCTGCTGTAAGTGTAATGTTGTCACGTTATTGATTAGGCTACTTGATAATTCATGGCTATATCAGGGGTATATTTTAGAGACACTGCAACACACAGACACAAATAGATTATAGTCTAAGGATAGAGGGTGTCGTTTTTTCTCATACTGATATTCTGAACAATCTGTGCTATTGTATTAGCTGTAAAGCGTCTCTACTGTAGGCTATTTTTATTATATGTACAGCACTTTGGCTCGACCAAAAATCGTTTATAAATGTGCTATATAAATAATACTTGATTTAATTTGATTTGATTTGATAGTAGTGCTAACTTGTTTGATCTTTTTGTGTGTCATGGTTATTTGAAAACCAAGCAGAAGTTTTGGGAGTGTTATTGATTGGCTTACTCAATTGTTTGAGTGTTTTTCCTTTGCAGACTTTTAAATGCAAATTCTTTGACAACAATAAAAGATGATGCTTTCTCTGGCCTACCACATCTGGAATATTTGTGAGTATCGAATCTAATGCTTACTTAATGCATCATGTTAACTTACATCATGTTATTTGTTTTTCAGATATGTTTTGCCTTGCATATAAGTTAATTTAACTATATACTATCTTATTCTCCAAAACGTTATAACATCCATAATATTCTGACATGTCTATAATTATCTGAAATGATTGAATATGACATGTATTAACTTTAAGTGAAACCACATTGTTTGACTCACTGAACAGATTTATTGAAGGGAACACGATTGAAACCATCACCAAATATGCCTTTCGTGGTCTGCGAGATTTGACTCATCTGTAAGTCTGCAGTCATTTTCTGTACCACACATGCATAATCTGCAGCACCATCACCTTACTTTGACAGAGAAAGACTGAATACATTACATATTTGTTCATTTTTCTGGTCTCCTTGTGATTCTGGTTTAGATCGCTTGCCAATAACAAGATGAGGTTTCTGCCAAGGGATCTGTTTTTTGACTTGGATTCATTGCTGGAACTGTGAGTAAGCAGTTGTGGTGTCAGCAGTGTGTGTGTGTGTGTGTGTGTGTGTGTGTGTGTGTGTGTGTGTGTGTGTGTGTGTGTGTGTGTGTGTGTGTGTGTGTGTGTGTGTGTGTGTGTGTGTGTGTGTGTGTTTTGACTGCGTTGCTAAGTGAGGCTGACTCAGGCAGAGTTTGTGCTTGGCATCATTAAACCCCACAAGAATGATGATATGGATAGCATTATCGAGTTTCTTTGTTTGTTTCCTTTATACTGCATTATATTTTTAAGATTTTCTTTCTAGCTATTTTGTTACCTTTTTCAATTCATTTTAATAAATCGTTCTACAGTGAAATATAAAACCTATTTGAAACATAATATGTGGCTTAAATAATCTAGGTAAGGTCAATGGGTAAACATTCCAAAACACTTCATCATCAATCTGGACCAACTGCTGTACAGTATATGCTTGTTCTTGAAAATGCATTTAAAAGGTGCAAGGTTTATGTCCAGAAGCATGCAGCAATGCATTATCATGTTGAGCACCAAAAAGTGGGTTTGAATATTACTAAGTTTCATCACATGCAGAAACATCTTTAAGGACTTTACTTTCTCACGCCTTTGTGGCGCCTGAATACTTCTTCTTATGAATTTTAAGATATATTAAGTGTGTCCAAGCTGATTTCATCATGTCATACAACAGGGATCTGCGAGGAAACTCTTTCCAGTGTATTTGTGAGAACAAGTGGCTGATGATGTGGCTGAAAAACACCAACGCCACAGTGTCAGATGTCTTCTGTGCCGGCCCCAGTGACATGAAGGGCAAGCGGCTCAATGACCTTCCTATCCCACCGGGCGAGTGTATCTCCACAGGTAAAATTACACAAACGCCATCAAACGAATAATGAATAGGGACAGCTAAAGATACAATGTTAAAAAAAAGGTAAATAAAATCATTAAAACTGTTAAATAATTAAACAGGAGACTAGCATGCACTCAAAAACAAACAAGCAGATGTAATGCCTGTTTATATGTGCCTTCAAACAGACACAACACACACACACACACACACACACACACAATAAACAGGCATTACATCTGCTTGTTTGTTTTTGAGTGCATGCTAGTCTCNTCATGTTATGCTTTGTTATTATTATGCCTTAGTGCCATATTGGCCTAATTGTTTTGACTGCTATATTTTGTACAGCACTCTGTGCATTCGTGCTGGGAGGGGTGCTTTAGAAATAAACTTTTACTTACTTACTTACTTCTTCTGCGGGTGTTCTATCCACGCTCAGGCAGCCACCAGCTGCCTGCACTGTACAATCGCTGGAGGACTGGGCTGTCACTCAAAAACTGAGTAGCCAATGGGGACGCACCCCTGAAAGTCCCGCCCACCTGGGAGGTTTGTGTCAGAATCTCAAACAAAAAATGAGTGAGCGCAAAAGAGAAAGCTGCAGCCAGAGCAAAAGTCTGATCATTGAGAAAGAAGAAACAAGAACTGCAAACAAAAACCTATGTTAAAACAAAGAAAAAATACTTATAGTTTACATGATTACACAAATGATTTGTTTGCAACTTATAGTTTTATTTTTGAAATTTATTTTATTTTGCTTGACTCAATTTTTTTCTTCTTTTGAACTCATAGTTTTGCTTTATTCTGAGAAAGTGTTGCATTATCTTTATGATACAAAACTAATCCCATAGACGCCCGTGATGAGCTGATTATATGCAGCTGCTGAGAGAGTAGGCTATATAGACCCAGTCTTCCTGAAAGAACTTGCGCTGAACTTCATATCCACTATAAATACGAAGGACGAGTTTCTGTTCGAAGAAGGCAAGTTAGATTCAGCAGCACGTTTGGAAGAAGTTGCATTATGTCTGACTCGTGAAAAGACCGGTGCTCCACCCTCAGCAAACAGTAAACAACGCCTACTAGACAGCTTATACAAGATTTTTTTCTGAAACATTTTTGCGTTTGGGTTCGACAGGCTTCAACAGGGTACAGTGTATCATCAGTAAAGACCTTTCAACAAGTTGTCATTTTTGATGGGATTTGTTGCTTAACATGCGTCTACACGGGTAAGTCGATTTTAGGCTGCCTGAATTCTGCGTTTTGCTCTTAATTAACTCCATCTGCAGAGTAAAAGATTGCGACATTGTATTTATTTATCGTGTAGCCTACGCTTCATTTAGCTTATTTTTCTGATTCTATATCCTAAAGATATGACGATAATGTGACTGTTTTACTGAAACCACCCTATATTATATTGTTATTGTATTAAAAGTAGCTCAAACATTTCTGCAATATTAAAATCCTTCTGACATGTTGATGAATAACCCCATAATGTGAGTTTTTTTTACCTTGTTTTTTTCCCGAACGGCTTTGAATAATGCATTACTTTTACCAGGAACAGAGTAGGCCTAGTATACAAATGCTATACTTTAACTTAAATTAAGGAATCTAAATACAGCAATCAATGTTTATTGTTATGCAACACATGATGAGTTTATCCATTTGAGGCACTCTCCTAACGATTTTAACATTTTTCAGGTCAATGAATATACTAGGAGCAGCAGTGTTGGTTCTGCTGGCCGGCTGTCAGCAATGTGTCTCCACTGACACTCCACCAGAGGTCTGGCAGAACAATAGTACTCTGTACGCAGCCTGCAAAATGAGACCCAGCACCTCACTCCCTGAAGGCCTGCCAAAAGTGTACGGTCAGGTGCTGTTTAAGCAGGAATATCCTGAGGGGAAAGTCAAGGTGCTCCTTCATTTCAGTGGCTTCTCCAAAGACAGCGCCCCAGTGCCCAGAGCGGTGCACATCCATCAGTTTGGAGACCTGAGCCAGGGGTGTGACTCCACTGGAGGCCACTACAACCCACACAGCGTATATCACCCAGGCCACCCTGGGGACTTCGGTAACTTTGTGGCTCAGAAAGGAAAAATCAATACGATGATAGAGTCTGAAGCCACGCTGTTCACAGGGCTGTCTGTGATTGGAAGAGCCGTGGTGATCCATGAGAGGAAGGACGACTTGGGGAGTGGGGGAGACGCTGGGAGCCTGCTGAGTGGAAACGCAGGCCGGAGGCTTGGCTGCTGCATCATTGGGATTTGTCCCCCCAGCCTCTGGAATAGGAAGTATGAGGTGTATAACAAACGTAAGCTTGTGGATGCTGGCATGTAGGGCAATTAAAGAGATGTGTCCTTGATTAAATCATTGATTGGATCCATTGTATCCCGTGTGTGGCTTACCAAAAATGGTGGGAAAGTGTCTTGAGAATTCAACTGCTCCAAAAATAAAATAAATGCTTCCTGCCTTTAATCCTTTTCCTTAAACACCATCGGTTTATGACCAAAGTAGCGACACTACCCGAGCTAAGAAGGTTAACATGGTATTCATTACAAATGCATTCATTTGCATGTGAATGTCATTTCAAATATATTATCACGCTTACAAAAACCTCCATTACATCCGTGCAGTGCAGGTTTCTATATTATATACTTAAAACATGTTTTTATTCAGTTAAATCATTTATTTTGCAGAAATAAATCCATGTTGTGCACATTCAACACATACACATATGGTTTTGTGGTATTTCTTTCTGATGAGTTAATACTTTTTGCTACAAAACATGACCAAAATGTCAGTGCTGGTAATGTTGTGGGTTCTTTGTGTAACAGACTAGTTAGTTCACTAAATGTTATCTTAACTACATTTATGTTCAAAGTCAACAGTCCTTAGTAGTGTCCTGCAGCATGTTATATAGCTGTGATACATTTGTTTTTGTGATTACAAAAAAATAACTTTTGTGAAAGTGTTTAGCAAAAAAGCAAAATATCCCACATGTTATCATTTAGGATAATAAATGAAGTGTTTTGGAAATGTTTGCATTGTTTTTTAAGAAAATAAATAAAGTTGCTGCTTAAGCTAAATATCTGGCTGATTTATTTGTTGTAGAGATCTTTAACATGGTTTCCTAAATGTGGAGGCAGAAGCATGGGCGGAGGTAGAAAGATAAAGGAGAAATCCTAAGCAACAACACCTCTTTAAGTTCATGTCAAATTCAATTACACATGTCCCTTTATTTTTTTGTTAGTTCTATAGAAAACCTAAATCAGTGTCTTATTCCAGAGTCAACATTAGACATGTTATTAAAATGACATTCTCCTTCAATGTTGGGTTCATATTCATTCTTAAGTAAATCTCAAAGACTGACATTTTGTGTCAATGCAGAGAAATCTAAATCACCCCACCTGGTCAAACTTTATGAAACACAAATTCGACAGCCCTTTTTTGCTACTTTTTAAATGAACTTGAATCATAGTTCCTCCCGCTCTGATACAAACGCATTATAAAGCTTCAAACTTTCTGGCTAAGGTTTGGGTTTCCTGTTTTAGGAAGGAAGCTAATCTCTGCCAAAATGAGCTCCAAAAAAGTTTTGGAGGCTGTTATAGCAGCGTATTGTTCAACAATCACATGTGGGTGTTACACTCAGGTTTCAACATTCTTTGGACCATTTATACATAAGACTCAAAACAGATCAAATGAAAGCATAAATAACATTGTTGGTTACTGACAGTGGACATATAGATATTTGTTTGGTTTCTCAGGAGGCATTCCCGTTCCTCTGACAGGGATATATTCATTTTTCTACTGTCAGTCAATCGTAACAACTCAGGTGTGTTTCATTATTCATAACAATGAATCAAGTAGCATTAATAATGTTCAAATGTATCAATTATCCTCATGTTTCTGAGGATTTCTCCTGATGCTCTGCACCACGAGAGTGGCTCATGGAACACTTCACATTTCCTGACTTACACAAACATCTGTCTCCCCTGTAAGCTCTGTCTCCTGGTTTGACTGGACGTCCTCCTGCTCTTCTTCAGCAGGTGACATTGTGCTATTGATGTTTTCCTGTATCAAAATACACTCGGTTTCAACATTTTCAGTGCATTCCTCTGACTCTTCCTCACTTTCTCCTGTGGGGTCAGAGTTCTCTAAAGTTTGCTGTATGTGGCAGAGGTCTGACGGATGTTGTGTTGGAGAGGAAACACTCTCACACTCCACTTCTCTTGACTGCTGAATGGTTAAATCCGTTGTGACCTGTGATTGGCCGATGTCAGAACACTCCTCACTGTCTGGTGTTTGTGTCTGAGGGCTGGCTGGCTCTTCCTCGGCAGGTTGGCACGTTTCCTCGCTGGACGCCGATGGTGTCTCCACGAGAGGCTCCTTTCCATTACCTGACACAGCAGGGGGTTCACTCTCTTGGATGGAGATTTCTGTGGAGCTCTGCTGATCCACGGCTATTTCTTCTGACACTTCATCACCTATATGAATAGAAGATTTAAGAAATGTAATCTCCGCTACACAGAACCATAGATGGCGTACACTGAGAGAAGTTTAGGGCACATTTATCCCTCACCTTCCTTTCCAGGAGACTCTGTTGGCTCTGCCTGCTGAGTGTTCAGGATGATGGTTTCTTTTCCTCCTATTATGACAAAATATAATTCAAAGTAAGCCTTAATAAAAGTATGAGACATCCAGAAAGCTGTATGCAGTGGTGGAAAATGACTAAGTCCATTTACTTTACTTATGTCCAATTTTTTATTATTTTACTGCATGAACAATTCTACTCCACTAGTCAACAAATGTACTTAGATTTATTTAATAAGTTAAGTTAGTGCTAATAATGCAATATATTAAAAACACCATATAATGTATCGAATTGAATAACAATTACTTGGTGATATTTATAAGTTATTCAGCAGTATTATATATAATGCATCAACAATTATTTTGGTACTTTAAGTATATTTTGATGCTAATACTTTTGAATTCAGAATTGCTACTTGCAATAAACAATTGTTCTACATGTTCATTTGCTATTTCTATTAAAACATCGAGTATGAGTTCCAACAATGCTTGTCACTGTTGTATTGAATAGAAAAGAGTACATTTAATTTGGGAAAGTATGAGAAGTTATTGAAGAACATGAAGTTTGCATGTTAAAAAGTATTAAGAGAAAGTGAGAGAAACGTACTTCCATAAATCCCCAGAGACACATTATAAGTCAGGCCTTCAGGAATCAAGAAGCAAAGGACAGAAGGAAGGATAAGGCATGTCAATTATTGTAAAAAGCAAGTAGAATACACATTTCAATGAAGCACATTAGTTCCAGTATATTAAGACAATGGTGTTCACCTGGCAGGCTCCATAATCCAGACATTTCTAATGATTTTAGTTTCTTCTCCAGCTCTGCTACTCGGTTTCCCAGAATCCTAACAACAAAAAGGAACAAAAACAAAGATATTTTCATGTTTTCTTCCGGCCTTATTGATAGAGATGACTGTGTATATAGAGGGTGTTAGGTACGAGATTGAGTACTTGTTGATTTGGCGTTGGTGCTGAATCACCATGTTCTTCTCGTGGATGGTTTCCAGCAGAGCTGTGGCGAGGGACTTGAGGTCTGAGATGGACTGAGGAGTCACCGGCAAACTGCAGCCGTTTTCTTCAGACAGTAATAATTCCTTCACTGCACACACATAATTATTCTCAGTTAAACTACAGTCACCACGTAAGGCTTTCTACAAATTAAGGGTTTCTAAAACTGCATTTTCCTTCAAAGCTTGTGTAAATGTCTACATGTGCATTTAGTTTTAAAAATATCTGATCCTTCTGACCTTGTTTAGCAGAGAGCACCCCAGTCAGCGCACTACTGTTAGGTTTCCCACAGATTTTAGAGGTTTTCCTGCAGTCCAGCGCACTCTGAAATCAGAGAAAATGATTAGGCATGAGAGGTTTGTGATCTGAGAGAAAGGTAGTTTGAAAAAAAAAAAGGAAATTCACATTTAACATTTGCAAAAAGTGAAATGGTTTCATTTAATTAATAAGTAGTTAAAAATACTGTAAGAGTAAGATATTTAACAAATAAGAAAATCACAATAAAATATGTAGCTACCTTGTACTTCACCAGGTTTGATTTGAGCAAGTGGATTTCTTCTTGAAGTTGACAGAAACGCTCATGCAAATACCTGGGATATAATTATAATAATAATTATAATATTAGAAGCCAATCAATAAATGTACATTCACATTTTATCATCATCTTTTTGAATTTACCAGCTGATTAAACATAAATATATAATCCAAAGTTATAGATTGACCCTTAAACTGTGAAATAACTGTTGCAGACACACAAACAGTGACATTTTTATTTGAAAGAAACAAACCTGTTCTCCATGCAGAGTGCATCGACGTCTAAAATGCGTATCTCATCGTTGCCCAGGATGTGGTTGATCTCCGCATTGAGCCGATGAGCCTTCTGCTGAAACACGTCCCGCTCCGCTCGAACGTCCTGAAGCTCGTCTGTGAGCGACTTCACGCTGTGCTCCAGGACCTCGTTCTGCAGACACACAAAACATACCAATACATTTGTGATACACTGTAAGTTCACCTCTCTAAGAAAGCCTCCTATAGTTGGATAGTGTTAATAAGAAAAACTAACTATGTCAGGTTGGACTACATTTAAATCTAATAACAAAGTTGTTGACATTAGGATGTCTTTTTGCTTTGAATAAGTTTAACCAGGTCATAAATACAATATCTCTTTGTACTTACATACTGTTACAAAACTAATGTTCATATTTTAAATGAAGGATTTTAAGAACATTTTTACAAGGACTACTTCTGTTAAATGTCATGATGCGTTCACCGAAAAGCCATTAACTGAAAGTCACCTTCATAATCTAAATTATTGCATTAAAACAAATGAACAGGAAGCAGCCTTCTCACCTGCTCTCCGGCTCTTTCTAACTGTCGGACCAGATCCTCTCGCTCATGAGCAGGAAAGTGTCGAGTGCCGACCTCCTCGTCTCCAAGCCTCTGTTTGGTGATGGTCATTCGTAAAAGCTGTTGGGAGAGAGGTACATCGTTTTGTATTTTGCACAGTTTTCCAGTTTTCTGCTTTATTTAATCTGATAAACCTCTTTTTCTGCATGAACCTTTATGCCGACTCAAATCAGATACATTCTTAACTATAAATGTTGGTAATATATGCGAGACCGAAAAAGAGAACTATTCATATTTAATTGTATTGCAATGTCCAGTATGTTGAACAGTGTTTACCTTGTTGTCACCTTGAGCTTCCACCAGGCGTTGTTTGAGCTCCTTCACCTCCTCAGAAAGTTCACTGCTCTTTTCTCTGGAGTCCCTCAGTAGCTGGGCTAAATTCACCTGAAGAGGACATGAAGATACGATCACTACCACTACACAGACTTATAATTGGTCTGTTACATTAATATATCCACAATAAACAATTGTGATGTAAGCTGTACAGAACAATAATTTTATGTTAATAGCCATTTCAGCCATTTGGAGTATATGTCAAAATCACTTACTTGATTCCTTTTCTCAGGAGGCAGAGTGGGATCTCCATCCTGTTAGTAATAAAAAGAAAGGAATGGTCATTTAATGCAAATTGTAGAACATTTGTTTTGGACAAATATATTTTCTGTTCTGCCATTTATTCTGCCTAATTTTTTTACGATGATGATGTATTGTTACGTCTTTACAATTGTTGCTTACAATGAGCTCTCTGTACTTCTTCTTGAGTCCTTGGTGTCTCTCCCGCAGCTGGTTGGCCATCAGCTGGTACTGATCCCTCTCCTGCTGGCAGGTGTCCAGCTCCTTCGACAGAATCAGGAGGGCTTCCTTCTTACTCTCCAACTTCCGCTTACAAACGAGGAACTGCGTGTAAGAAAAAATGTTTTAAGAGAAAGTTAAATAAATGTGTTACATGCATACTGAATCATACTGGCTAGGTAGGCAGTGTCATCTTTCAAAAGCCAGCAACGTAATATTATTGCTTATAAGAAAAGAAACTGAAGCAGTGCAGCCAATACTCAAGATATTGCATATTAAAATAACCACATGAGAACTTCTGATGTTGATTTCTGTCATGACATCTGTTTAGGTTAGAAATTCCCCTTTTTAGGGCTGTAAATTATGATTATTTTCATTATTGATACATCTGCTGTTATGTTTTTGGTTAATAGAGTCAATATCACGATAAAGTAACTTTGGTGTCCCCATCAGAATCACTCAGTTATCATGAAAATGTAGCAGAATAATGAAACTCTGAGGTCTTATTATAAAAGGCCAAACATTTACACACATATCAGTACAATGATAAGTCTCTTGAAATGTGTTTCCTTCATTTTATACCTTATTTTTTCATTGGATGTACGTGATTTTGGCATGTCCCACACATTGCTCTGCTAACTACAGTGTGTGTAATACATGATAAATGATACTACATTTTTTAAATAATTATATGGTTTTATTGTCCACAACGAGTTATTTGATAAAAACGAGTCATTTTGATCATGTATATTCTATTTTCATAATAATATTGAACATTTTTCATGTGTCCCTGACATTTGCTGTCCACCCTGTCATTAAGGGGTAACTGCCTCATAAAAAACATCTGATGTATTCAGTGACATTACTACCACCATTTTGTCTTTCCTCAATGGAGGCTGAGACATTGGCTAGTTGCAGAGTAAGTATTTCAATTTATATTTCGTAATTTTAAATCATATTATGTGTGTGGTTGGATGTTGTCAATCTTAAAATGTCCACTCTGTCATAGTGAAATGTCAATTAATATAAAAACCTTTCAGAAATTCGAAATATATTTGTTAAATACAGTCAAGCCAAAAATGTCCACCCTGTCATTGTCCACCCTGTCAGCAAGCCTTCCATGACAGGGTGGACATGGTACAAATAGTTTGCCATAATTTCAATATTATCCAAATACTTTTTCCTTTAACTGAAATATATTGTTGAGAAAGGGACTTAATAGCTTTCTGAAAATATACATTTTATAATCACTATTACAATGTATTTACTCTACTTTGAATTTGTCCATGTCAGGGTGGATAAATGTTTGCTGTTTACATGTACATTGTCTGCCTGCAGTTCATTTATAAAAAATGTGGGAGCTTGACCAACATCCATTTCTAACAGCGTAACACATTATTACAATTAATATGAAGTTCAATGGAAATCTCAGCTTTCTTTTGGAAATGGGGAAGTCTCAAATGCACCTTATGGTGATATTGACTCCAATTAAAAAGAAAATACAGAAAAATGCACAACAAAATTTCCCGAAACCCAGAGATTTTGTATTTCCAATCATATAAAAGGAGCAGGAACAGATCTTTTTATTTTTGCTCAATAAATGATCCATCAATTATCAGGCTTGTTTTCTATACATTTTCTGTCAATTAACTAATGGATTTATTAGACCTGCACTTGCTAAAGTGTTGAAACATTCTGCTATATAAATATGGCTTATAATTTGTAATGTTGTTAGTCATACCAGACAGTAAGATTTGCTTCTACAATTTACTGGATCTGACTATAAGACATGTACATAAGGGGGATCATAAACTCACCACGAGCTGTCATCTAAATGTATTGATTGTGACAGATTAGCCGTAGTGAAAAGTAAATACACCTGCAGGCTGTAGTTACATGTCATCATCTCTGTATGGCATCAGGATCTGCATGTATAAAAGGAAAACACAGATCTACTTCCTTGCACAGGCAGAGATGTAATCCTCTTTACTCCGTTAATCTAAACGACATCTTCACCTGGCTGGGGATACAAACAGGAGGCGAAACACCGCATTTAAAGAATGTGAAACGACACAAATGAAGCCCTAATGAAATAGTTTGCGGCACGAACACTGGTGGAGGTTACGAGTGTATCTGTCACGCTCCTCTCTGCGGATTTCTCCTCACCTCGTTCACCAGACCCTGCCAGTCGCTCTCGCTCCTCCTGCTCGGATCCATCTCTCTCCGCACTGCAGGGAAAAAATATATAGTAATGACGCAAGGTGAGTTTCAAAACAGCATCACTGGGTTGTGATCGGATTTAAAGACGCATCAAAACCGTGGATTAACTGATCGAGGAACAGGAGCTGTATCACTTCCGGACGTCACTGACGTGAGAGATGCGTCACGACGCATTTGGAAACCCTCGTAAAAATAGGAACTAACCGTTAATAGTGGACAAGTAGCTTTGTATGGAGACCTTTATATATACAGTCTATGATGGAGACCTACATTGGTAAACAACGATTTAGCTTTAAATACATGAAAGAGGCCAACATGAGGTTAGTATTCCTATGATAAATAATTATAAAAATATATGATTTGAGCTGCTTATAAGCTTATACAATATAATGTCAAAAATATCTTTATTTATCCACTGACTTAAATCAAATATGCATCTTAATGAAAATGTTCATGTCCTTATATATACAAATTGAAGTATAGGTAACTGTATTTTTATTTTGTGCAAATCAATGGAAAAAAAATCGATATTGGATAAAGAAAAGTAAACATGGAGTTTCCTGGCAGCAGAACGATAAAGTCTGGAGAGCAGGGATCTGACAAGATGGTTTATCTCAAGAGGCTTTTAAAAGCTGCATCAATCACATCAAAGCCTCATGACTGAAAGACAATAACACTATATGATGATGATGATGATGATGATGATGATGATGATGATGATGATGATGATGATGATGATGATGATGATGATGATGATGATGATGATGCTTGCTTTGTCTTCCTGTTCTTTTCAATAACCATATGATTGTGTTGTTTGTCCTCTGCTGCAGTTAAAAGGAAATGCTGTCTCAGATGCCAGATGCCCTATCAATTTCAAACGTGCTAACTGAGGCACTTTGTCTCTGCTTTATGGACACAATGCACAGTCTGTGCATCTGCAAGAATGGAGGACAGAGTGCAATACAGATGAGTACAATACATGTAGTTAAATGCTCTTTAATGCATTTACACAAACACATTCTTACAAGACTGAAGGCTGTCAGTGAAGCGTTATAGCTCTATAGAGTCAAAAATAAATATATACTCAGGAATATTACAGAAACATAGAAAGGCAATTTTTTTTTTAAAGAAATCTGAAATGCTAACAAAATATTGCTTATGCTAGATCTTGGAAGCATTTTGATTTAAGATGATGTGACCAGGGCCTAATTTGAACATCATGCCATTGTAATGTCCAATATTTATATTCGAAACCAAACTGACTGTAATTAAATCTGTACAATAAATGAAAAATATCAAAGGATCATGAAATACAAAGCAAACATGTGTGTCTTAAGACCATGTAAATGTCATTTCAAGTCACATAGCAGCACACAATTAACCTCAAGATTGTTATTTAGAGCAACAGTCAGTATTTTACATTTTGCATAGTAATAAGAGAAAATTACATTTATTTCTGACACCAATCAGGCACTCTGTTAATAATGTAGCTTGTTATGATTGCAGTGCAGTTAGGCGTTAGTCTTATAATATAAAGCTAATACATTCAGCTGCGTTACTGGGGATAATGTCACCAAGAAAACCTCTGTTTCATGCACATTTTAATCATGACAGTAAGTAGTTGTTCATTTTGTCCAGTTATCACTTCAGATACACAGTTCTGTGCATTTTAGTGTTACATTTGACTTTTTGCTTGCAGTGGTTGGGCCTGGTGTCTGAAACAATCACTGCTTTCCAACCTTATTTTAGCTTCCCAACACAACCATATATTCATGTGTACAACCATGTGGTACACCATGCATACCTTCTCAAAGTGTGTGACATCATCCCTATTTTCAAACCATTATCACATCTTGACCCTCTCTATGACAGAAGACTTTTCAAATGTGACCTTACGTAAGAGCTATTAACAGCTTTTCCAGCATACCAACACCTTGAAAGGTGCAGCGCCATAGGCAAAATAGTTACTATTTCTGGCTTCTCACTTTAAATAAGCACCAACCTAACAGGTGCAACATTAGATTATCATATATAATGCTATGTCTATGCATTTTTTATATCCCTAAAGTTTTCCTACTACCTGTGTGGGGTGGCCAAACTAAAGCTATGCCCATAATAGACACCTTTTAACATAATATGTAGTTTGCCACAACAATATCTTCATGCTGGTTTCATTTCAAAAGTTGAAAGGCCATCTTTAATGCCCTTAGTTAATGTTTACTGAGGACCTAACGTACCTCCAGAATTGCTAGAAAGTCATATGAGTTACAGGAACCTGGCAAAGATGTTATAATGTTACATAATGTTTCATCAATATACAGCATTTGAGACTGCTTTTTAGCGTTTATGGAACAATTATTCCGATAAAGTGATTAGTCATTATCTTTGCAAGGTTTATAAGCTTAAGTCTACCATTACATTCTCAAAAACCATAGATTTGCCCTTGAGGCTGGAGGAGAAGATGAAATGCCTCCGCTCGGTGGTTAGTACTATAAATGAGCGGGGCGACTGTACATAAATGTCCTTGAACTTGTTGAAGGTTTTGGTCTCCGCATCCCAGAGGTAGATTTGTGTGAAAGAGTAATCGCTGCCCAGAGCAAGGTAATGCTTGTCAGAGATTATGAAAGGCTGGAGGATCATCGCTCCTCGAGAAGGAAGAGCCTGCACATCAGTGAACTGCTTGTTGGTCCACTTCAGGACTTTTGAGTCACCGATGTAGCAAGTCATGGCCAGATACAAGTCCTTGTCTATCCGGAAGGCTTTGACTGCCACCACGTCGTCAACATTTGTGATTTCCCCGTGAAATATGAACTTCAGGGTGCTCTTGTTCCAAAGGTAGATGACAGGTGGCTGAGAGCGGCTGGTTAGGATGAGGTAGGACTTCCCGTCCCATTCGACAAACTCAGCATCTGTATCACGAAACCACTCGTGGAGAAACTGGTAGGAGAAGAAACCCGTTTCATTGCGGTCTGGTTGGTCGGTCCACTTGTACAGAGTAGACATTCCTGCCTTGGAGCTGTCCACGATCACAAAGTACCAGTCTCCGTCCATTTGGAAGACCTCAATATCGTTTGGCTTGGAAATGTTAAAGACCTCAATGGTTTGAAACTTTGTGAACTTGTTTTGACGATCGTCAAACTTGTAAATATGGGAGCCGCCAAAGAGCTGGGTAACAATTACTAAGACATGGTTGTCAATCAGGACAGACTTGCATCCAACAACAGACTTTCCTGTGAGGATGAAAAAGATGTGTGGTATTAAAACACAGACAATTACATCAAAGTTGATCATCTATCTACCCTTAATCAACAATTTCATTATAAAGCTGTTCTCTTCAATTATTTTCTATTTTTGATATTGTCAAATTAGCTGTGCATTATCTGTGGCTCTAGGTCCAAAGCCCACTGGTTCTAAAAAAAATAACATAACAAACAAAAATAACAAACATTTTAACAAACATTTCTCAAACAGGATTGCATTTTGAAATGGTTGGGAAATGTTTGTAGCTGTGCATCGACACATATTTGGTGATCTGGACAGTATTTACAGCACCAGGACACTGTTTGTGGGATTAATAAAAAAATAAACGATAGTGTCCATGTTCATTGAAATAAAGTAACCTGTCAGATGGGGTCAAATGTGTTTTAGCTGCATTACTTGTTTCTAGGACCAATTCTTTGTTGGTTTTGGCCTTTTCATGAGATTTTCTGACTGTAAGAAAATACATGAATATCACTGGACTCATCCTTTAAAAAATAAAGACTTTTGGTGAATGTTATCAAACCTGTTATATTGTCAAATTTCCTGAAATTCATTTC